CCCTCATAGTTCTCCTTTAAGCAATCCGTGGCCTCAAAACATGAAATTGGGAACTACAAATAAACCAGTAAAGTTTCCTCCGGTCACATATGCCACCGATACATCAATGTACATTATTCGCCTGACTTACGGGATCAGAAACTCCTGGATGTTGCTGACAATCTGCTTGCCCACCATTATAATGAAAAGTTGCTGGGCCAGTTCTATGAGGCAGCCTCCTGGACCGCACTGTAGGGAGACATAAAAGAGAATGGACTCAGCAACTGATTCTCTCACAAGATGTAAAACCTCCACATACTGTATGAGGGAGGATGACCACTGGTGAGGAACCAGCCATATGGTCTTACAACGTTTATAGTGGGCCTCCCCACATCACAGGATTGGACATTCAAAGCATTCTAAATACCCGCTAGAAGCAGTGAAAGAAAGATGGGGATCATTGCATTGGAAATTCCAGTTCTATTAAGATAAAGTTCTAATATATTATAGATACACGTGCAGGGCCTAACGTAAGTCAACACCCTCACCAAATGATTGAGTTCAGATGTCTCCGGTGAAGGTCCTGCTAATGCCACAACATACAAAGCCGGCTCCATACAGACACGGTGTGACCAGTTTGGTGGAGGAACTCGAGTGTCCTTCACAGAGCCCCGACCTCAACCCTACGGAACACCTTTGGGATGAATTGGAACATCAATTGTGAGCCGGGTCTTCTCATCCATCAGTACCTGACCTCACAAATGGGCATTTTAGACAATTGTGATCTTCCAGCCTTGTGGTCACAGTTTGGTGAAGACTCTTTTCTGTTCCACCATGACTGTCCCCCGTGTACAAAGCCAGCTCCATACAGACATGGGGGGACCAGTGTGGTGGGGGAACTTGAGTGTCCTGCACAGAACCCCGACCTCAACCCTACTGAACACCTTTGGGATGAATTGGAACATCAGTAATGAGCCGAGTCTTCTCATTCAACATCAGTACCTGACAAATGGGACAAATTCGGACAGACACCCTCCAAAATTTTGTGGAAAGCCTTCCCAGAAGAGTGGAGGATGTTATCAGGGCAGCCATCAGGGGGGCACGGCCGATACTCATGTAAGGGGCCTGGGCAGCCTGGGGGGGGCCCACCTGGGTCCCTTACAGGACTATCGGCCGACGGCGAAGGTCGAGGAGGCGGAGGCCTGGCCCCAGCAGCGCAGGGCCCCAGCATTGCCGCTCCAGCGGCTTTGAGACAAGCTGGGGCCCCATCAGCGACGCTGATCGTCTGATGTCACTTCTGGCCGGAAGTGACATCACGTTAGTGACGTGACGTCACTTCTGGCCGGTCCGGCGGCAGACGGGGCCATGTGTGCAGGTAAGAGGAGCTAGGAAGGAAGGAAAGGGGGGAGGGGAGGGATGCAGCCCTGACCAGCCCACCTGAGACCCCTTCAGAGCCCACCATAGACAGTCTCAGATGGGCTGTGCAGCATCTATGGTGGGCTCTGCAGGGATCTCAGGTGGGTCCTGCATCACTAAGCCCTGCGTCCAGCGCGTCACTAAGCCCTGCGTCCAGCGGCGCGGTGGGGGGCCCAGCCTAAAGCCGTGTAAGGGGCCCCAAAATTTCTGATGGCTGCCCTGGATGTTATAGCCACAAAGGAAGGCCAGCTCCACATGAATGCCCGTGGTTTTGAAATGGGATGGACTAGTGTGATGGCCAGGTGTGTATTTCTAGGGGTTATTGAGCTCTCTGCGGCACTAATAGCGTGAGCACGACGCAGTTTGAGGAATCAAGCCCATAAAGCCCCAAAACCCTCCAAGAACCCTTACCGGGAAGCCCCCGGCACTCAATGTGATGGATCCCAAACCTGCAATCCATTCTGTTATGTTACAAAACATAAGTTTACATTTGGAATTGTCTTCTCAATATATATTATTATTCCAGAAACAAACTTCTGATGGACGCACCGAGGGAAGAAAATCATTGTGGATGATCCAATAACCGGTTGGTTGGTCGGTCGGTTGTTGGTTTGTATGGGTGGGTTGGTTAGTTGGTTGGTCGGTTGTTGGTTTGTATGAGTCGGTTGGTTGGTCGGTTGTTGGTTTGTATGGGTTGGTTGGTCAGATGGTTGGCTGTTGGTTTGTATGGGTTGGTTGGTTGGTCGGTTGTTGGTTTGTATGGGTTGGTTGGTCAGATGGTTGGCTGTTGGTTTGTATGGGTCGGTTGGTTGGTCGGTTGTTGGTTTGTATGGGTTGGTTGGTCAGATGGTTGGCTGTTGGTTTGTATGGGTCGGTTGGTTGGTTGGTCAGTTGGTTGGTTTCTATGGGCCGGTTGGTTGGTCAGTTGGTTGGTTGTTGGGTTGTATGGGTCGGTTGATTGGTCAGTTGGTTGGTTGTTGGTTTGTATGGGTCGGTTGGTTGGTCGGTTGTTGGTTTGTATGTGTCGGTTGGTCGGTTTGTATGGGTCGGTTGGTCAGTTGGTCGGTTGTTGGTTTGTATGGGTCGGTTGGTCAGTTGTTGGTTTGTATGGGTCGGTTGTTGGTTTGTATGTGTCGGTTGGTCGGTTTGTATGGGTCGGTTGGTCAGTTGGTCGGTTGTTGGTTTGTATGGGTCGGTTGGTCAGTTGTTGGTTTGTATGGGTCGGTTGTTGGTTTGTATGTGTCGGTTGGTCGGTTTGTATGGGTCGGTTGGTCAGTTGGTCGGTTGTTGGTTTGTATGGGTCGGTTGGTTGGTTGGTTGTTGGTTTGTATGGGTTGGTTGGTTGGTCAGTAGGTCGGTTGTTGGTTTCTTTGGGTCGGTTGGTCAGTTGGTTGGTTGTTGGTTTGTATGGGTCGGTTGGTCAGTTGGTTGGTTGTTGGTTTGTATGGGTCGGTTGGTTGTTGGTTTGTATGGGATGCCGATAAAACATCTGATATGATACATTGATCTTCATATTTGCTACTCACTCAGTAAGTCACAGAGCACAGTGTGTATTAATAAAGGACCCATCAATACTCATCAATACTCATCAATACCCATCAATACTCACATCCTCGTTCCTCATACCCAGCAGCTTGCCGTAATGACCGGGATATCCCACAAATCTGTGAGGCAGAAACGTATAGTCATTAAAGATCCCCATTGGTCGTCTCTCACACATCGACAGCGTCCCTAGATCAGGCCATTGGCTGCATTTCTGTAGCTGCTGCAGACTGTTCTAGCCAACTATGGCTCAGTACTCTACAGCCGGCACTGAATGTGGCTCGGCAGAGGTCTGTGTCTGCACCGGCTGGGCCTAACCTCCCCGAATCCGGCACCAGATACACCCCGGGGCTTTTACATCAGGCATGGGCTCAGCTCCTCGCACAGGCAATAGATATTGGGAAGGCCCACTCACCTCCCCTTGAAGAAGGCCACGTAGAACGGTGAAGAGTAGAAGTTCACAAACTGGAAGATGAAAACCTTGAAGGTGAAGGCGTCCTCGTGTAAAGATTGGGTGCGATGCATCTCTGCCATGGGGAGGAGATAAGGAGTTACACAGGAGCACCTAACGAGAGGTGGTTTCTAAGCTGCCTGTAGCGGGTGCTGCCCCTTTTACTGTCCCTCCAGTCCCCCCCATCCAAAGGGCAAGAACCAGGGATGAGGAGAAGGAGATGAGAGCGGCACACGATCACCTATGTGTCTTGAACTTCCTATTTTAGCCACGCCTCTGCACTTCCTGTTTGCCAGATTATTGTGCTCCTGCCATTATCTTGCTTCCTGCTCCCTCTGTGATACAATCTCCTCATACTGCTACCCGTGTGCCCACCTTTGGCTGCCGATTCACCGACTACTCTCATCATCTTCCACTTCATACCTGATACCTTTGGCACCTGACCTCGGCCTGTTCCCTGACTACGCTTCTGCCTAGGGTTGCCACCTTTTCTTCAAGCGAAACCCGAACACTCAAGCGACGCGCGGACATTTTTTGGGGAGAAGGAGTGGCAGCTTATTCATATGTAAATAGCGCCGCCCATTCAAATGTAAATATCACAGTTGGGACTATTTTCAGTGGGGGG